CAAAATAATTATATTTCTATTAATTCTTTAACATTTAAAATTATCGACATTAAATTTCAGTATGTCGCAATCTGGCATTTTCATCAAATCAAATCTGGTTTACATACCACTGTCAGTAACGACCGCTCACACATTAAATTTCATATTTAATTCTCCATTATCTACATGGCAAGAATTTCCTCCAAAATTACCTACCTCAGTATATTCTTCAATATTTTTTACTCCATTATTATTGTTTCTATCACTTTCATTTGAACCAATTCAAACAAAAAGACGATTCTATACTTTATTATCGCTCGCTCTTATATTTATTTCAATCCCAATAAGTTTTCGCGGGTTATATCCACCTACACTTCAAAACGCTTTTGTAGCTTATGGAGCATTATTTGGACTAAAAATGTTTTTATTCTTAAAATATAATCGATCATATTTGAATCAAGAAAGTTCGAATCAAAAGGAAGAATTTAAGTCATTTCTATGGAAAATATTTAATTCGCGCTTTAACTCTTACATAATTCCCCTTAAAAAGGAAATTTCTAACGAAAAAGAAAATTCCTTGATTATTACGTCACCTACGACTTCACAGATTAACAAAAAAATAATTTATCGCACCCTATTTATCTTTACAAAATATCTTATTCTTGAACTTGTAATGTTCATATTATCTAAGTATACAATGGTAATTCCAGAGAAACCATACCAACTTCGTTTAATTGAATTTTTTACAAAGGGAACTCCTGCAGTTACAATGCCTTCAATGTTACAATACTTAAATTTCCTTTTAGGTTTATACCTAATGTTGTCCATATATTACGATATATGCACCATGATTTGTGCAACCTTCTACCGTTTATTCCTACATGCCTCATCAGAAGAAATCTATTATAAACATATTTTAATTAAATCTGGCCTCCTCACTCCTTCCGAGTTTGTCTCCTTAAAAGAATGGATGATCACGTTCATTTTCAATACAAAACATTTATTTAGTGAACCATGGATGGCATCAAGTCCGCAAGACTTTTGGTCTGCTCGTTGGCAATTAATGATTAATGAAAGTTTCAAAGAATTAGGTTTTTTACCTGTTAAGAATGTATTCACTACATTCGTCCCTAAGAAATTTGCAAATTTGATGGGCGTGTTAGGTGCATTTGGTATTAGTGCCTTATTGCACGAATACCTTATCATTGGACAATTTGATCTTTGGACAGGTGAACATTTCTTTTTCTTTATGATCCACGGTGTAATATTTATCTTGTGGGAGGCTGCTTTTGGTCGTGAAAATAAAAATGAAAATTCAAAAATCAAAAGATTCGTAAAATGGTTCTTATTGTTGATTATTAATTTATCAGTTTTACCAGCATTCATTGAACCTTACAGAAGACGACCTGAGATATTTGAAATTCCTTCATATTTTTCTTAAATTAACATTGATTCGAGGGTATTTAAAGTGTAATTTAGCATAGAAAAATTTAAATAGAAATATAGATACAATATATAGAATAATTCATCACATCATGCATCATCACTTTACAAAGTAATTTATTACATATAATAAACAAATCTAAATATTTCATGTCAAGAAATCGGTTTAATACACAATATAAAATTGAAATTAAAATATAAACTTATCTATTTCGAAATGCAGTTTTGAATTAAAATTAAAATAAAAATTCATCATTGAAATAATTTTTTTGCTATTAACATGACAAAGTTCTTTAAAAGTCCTTAAAGAATCTTTTTTAAATATTAGAGAATATTTAGAAAACGATGGAGCTCTCTTTTCGCAATATCCTAAATACTAGTATCTCGCCGATAATTTTTTTCTACAATGAATTAGTAAAAAAAAAAAAAAAAAAAAAAAAAAAAAAAAAAAAAATTCTATTGACAATCAAATTTGAATGTTTCGACTTTAACAAAAATGAGGTTAGGGGTTATCCGAATAAATTAATAATATTTCATTTAATCATAAAATAAAGCATTATAATTGTTGTCTATTAAAAAATATTAATTTTTTTTTAAATTATGGGAAATTTATCTTTTTCTTTACATATGGATTTTACGTTTTTTAGAATAATAAATAAGTCTACAATCACCAAATTGATTATTTTATTTGTTATGGTACAATAAATTCTATTCGCATTCTAACTATAACCGACGTAAGTTATTGCCAGAATATACTGTACTGTAAATTGAATCGCAATTATCTCAAGATCGGCCGATCCGAAATTGATGGTTTTAACTCATTGGGTTCGTTTAGACGCGTGTATTAGAATGATATTTGTTCCATGAGAACGAAAAAATAGAGTTCTTTAGATCACCGATACATATTCCTGTAAACCACGCTATGGATTGAAGAGAAAAATCAGCTAAAGTAAGCATGGCATTTTAAAATAATCAAAGTAATTTAAATACTTACTCTAAAGTCCCCAGAGAAGAACAGCAAGTTTAAATAAATAATTTTTTCGCTTTTATTCATAACAAATTTGTACGATAACCCTTCTGTATGTAAGAAACCATGAGCTAAATTGACTTTTGCCAAATTACATCTGATTTTAGAAAAAGTTAAAGCTACAACTTCTAGAAGCAATTTGGAAAAATATCAAATTAAATGCTCACCATATGTATGCAAAGAAAAGACACTTATCTCTGTGAATGTCTCAATAGTTGTTCCTCAAAACAATTCTCCGATTTCCTCCAGCTGTACAACAGCTACCCGAGAGATATTCTTATGACCGTGACCACCATTCATAAAAATTTGGCGAACAGGATATGATAACAAAGTTTAGATTCGAATTCCAAAAAATTATTTATCATATCCAAATGTCCTATTTCAACTGTTTTTTCAATCGTACGAAAAAAACACATCGGCCTTATTAGTCCAATAAAATCCATTTGAATTTCCCCATTTTCTACTGACTGCTTCCCATATTTCCACCATAGTCCACTTCTGTCTCATCATAGAATTCCGGGAAATACATCTCTGACTACAGGAACAAGATGGTTTTGTAAATGTGTATATCTGAGTATTATATAAACTTACAAACAAAAATACTTACAACAGAGATATATTTTCACAAAAAAAAAACTTTTGGAGAGGTGGTTTCGAGTAAAATTTCTCTACTTATTCCAAAGAGAGAGCTAAACTTCTAATATTCTCGATGAGCACCAGTATTCTTGTTCAATTCATCCTTTTGATTTTTTCAATTTCATATTTTAAGGAAATCATGAGATTTTTTTTAATGGTAATTGGTTTTCATATTATAATCAATATTGAAAGAGGAATAAATGAACAAATAAAATAATACATACCAGTTTCAGAAGTTTTATAAAAAAATTCTGGAGCATTATAATACTTGGGCGTTTTATAAATTGCACATTACGGAACATAATAAATCATATGATCCGCAACGTGATTGTAACAACCGATTCACCAAAATTCTTGTTCATAGTCTCGGAATTTAATTCCACAACTGATAATATTAGACTTCGGGTTTAAACGTTGAAAACCACATCAGCATAAGTTGTAAATCCAGTGTTAACGATTGGATAATTTGATATTTCGGACAGATGTTAATAATTTTGTTTAATCAAAAAAAAGATTTTAAGATCCCTTTCCCATTCATGTACCTACTTTCTATTAATTCAATAATTGATGAAGTATTTTCCGGTATTAAATAATGTTTTGACTTTATTTAATTAAAATTTTATTAACAACCCCTTTTCCGCAAATTTATCAATCGATACCCTAGATCGCAAGACTTTAGTTATATAATACCTCAAATCAACATGAAGTTTGAAAAATCCCTAAAAATCTTATCTTTTTTTTCCTTCGTCGTCTTCATTAATCTACCGAGCATCAACTAATACCGTGCGTGATGTTTAAACTTATTTTTTTTTTTAATTAATTTCGGATTCTAAAATATCTTGCAAAAAAGGTGTAGGACATAAGTAAGATACAACCGATTCCTCTTCAAGAATCAATACCCTAATGTAAATTACTAACCTTCAATCTATACTAAGCCTTAAAGCCTTCTCTTTTCTCTTCTTTCGGTAATTCCCCAGCTACATCGTTCATCGTTATGGGATTCCCGCTTTTCTTGTTTGTTGTTACTCTTTGTGAATAAATTAATCCCATGATTATACTCCACTTTTTATAGGAAGTTTCCCAGAATCCTGGAATTTAGGTTGCAGTGTTTTGATTTAACTATCTGTCGAAAATTTTTGTCGCCGTTGAAACTTTTGCCACCCGTCGAAAACTTCAAAAAACAAAAAAAAAAAAAAGATTGGAAAATGTCAATGTCGTAGCCGTTTTTCCAGATTTATTATATAATGGTAACGATCCACAGTGCGTGATTAAAAGAAAAATATAAAAAGATTCATCATATATACTTTTCCAGGAATGTGACACACGGGTGATGAAAATGCACGTGAAGATCACGTGGGAAAAAAGTGGATCTAAGAACGGCATCCTTAAAAATGTACCTAGGATATATAATCAGGTTCTGAGAAATTTTTGACTAAAATTAACGTAATATCTTAAATTTTAGTCTAAAATTTAAATTAGATGGGTAAAAGACCCGCAACTATAATTATCACGTGATACTTATTTTAAAAAAATATATTTATTTCTTAGATCACATATATAGAACCGGATAATTTACCGGGTCGAAATGAATAGGCCAAATTTATAGTGCGGAAAATATCAATAAATAATAAGCTTTTTTTATTGTGATTCCCATTATAGTTAGTCGATCAAACAATAATTGCTCCTTAACGCATACCGAAAATTTTGTAATAGCAATCAAAAATGTTCGTCTACAATCTTTTATTCGCATGGCGAGACAATAGGGCAATAGATGTTTCAGGAAGTGCATAACATGCAGTTATCAAAACAAATTAAGCAAATAAGGGATTATAATGAAAAAAAAATTATTTTATAACTTTGTTAATTTTTCAACAAACAACTTCAGATTAATCATCAGAATAATATTTTAATAAATATGAATTGTAAAATATATAAATCGCTTAATTGCTTTTTCATCCTCATATTAAGCTATTTGATTTTTGAAGTTGAATCATTTACTCCTGCAGGACGATTGGCTCATTCCTCAGTCCTTGTTGTAAATAGGATTTATTTTTTTGGTGGAGTTGATGATCAAAGTAATGATTTATCTGAAGTATTTTATCTTGATTTATCAAAGCCATTTGATATGGCAACTCCATCATGGAAAGATATGTCAGCTACATCTGCTATTCCATTTAGAAGCGCATTTGCAACCACTGCATCAACTAATAATGATAATAACCCGATCATTTACCTTATTGGAGGATTGACTCGAGATCAAAATAATGTTGATACATTTATCTCTCTGATACATGCATTTAATCCAAAATCAAAAAAATGGAATACGCCTATAATTAAAGGAAAAGAACCAGAAAGACGCAGAAATATTCAGGCTGTTGTTGATGACGTCGGAAAAATTTATGTTTTCGGTGGAAAAACCGATAATAGTCTAGGATCGGAAATTATTCAACTGTTCAATGATATTGCAATATTCAATACTAAGGATTTAAATTGGTCACAGGGTCCAATTGTCAATGCTCCTTTAAAACGTGATCTTTATACCGCGACGTTTTTAACAGATGGTAGGATTGTATACATCGGAGGTCGTGAACAATCTAATAATATCCTTACAAATGTCGTAGACATTAATCAAATTAATATTTATGATACAAAGTTAGCATCTTGGTCGTCAATGGTATGTACTGTATCTTATTACGCCTTCATGAATTATAAAATACATCAATTTTGAAATTTATTCCCGTTAAGCAAGCAACAGGTAATAATAGAATTGAGTCACGTTTTGGTCATTCGGCTGTATTAGGTATCGTATTTTCGCAAAGAAAAAAATTTTTTTTTAAAACATAAATTAACTTTGTATTTGTATTACAAAATAATGTTAGCTTCAGATGGAAGAATAATTATTTATGGCGGAGTGAAAAATATTGCGGAATTTTTAGATGTTAAAGCCACTCCAGACTTGGCAATACTTAATACACAAACGACTCCATTTGAATGGAATGACCAGCTAATAGCATCAAATGTTGGTGAAATTCCATCGCTTGCGTTTCATTCCGCAAATTTGTATGGAAATTACATGATTGTAGCTTTTGGTACGTGACTAACTACATGAATATTTTCGGGTCCTAAAGATTTAAGATTAACGTCATTGAATTATAGGAAATATGACACAAACAAGCACCCCTCCATTGACGAATAAAAATTCAATGATTTATTTGTTGGATATTAAAAACTATACTTGGGTGAATCGATTTGATCCCGAACTTAAACCTTCAAATCGAACTCCACAAAAGCCTCCAAATACTTCCAATAATTCAGTAAGTCAACCAGATGGTTCAAATATAATGGGAATTGTAATTGGTATATTAAGTGGAATTTTCGGAGTCACAATTTCTATAACAATTGGAATGTTTATTCATAAATGGTATCAAAAAAGAAAGTACAGGATTGCTAGAATTACGAATAATGCATATCGTGCTTAATTTTCGTTGTAAATTGGGAATTTCTATATATTTTTCATAATAACTATAACTAGAATGTAAAGTTAATGTAGATATTAGAATGCAAATAACTGATCTTCTGATACTCTGAAAGTTTTTATGGGATGGGGAGATAATTATTATTATTATTATTTTATTTATTTTTATTTTTTTTTTGTTATTATTACTACAAATATGAAAATAACGAAATTGTGGAAGCAAATATTTTGATATTTTGAACATGCAAGCAATCGTTAATACGTGTGACTTTTCACTCATGATTTGCACGAAGAGGGGATAAAAAAAATCTAAATAGATATATGTCCAGTATAAATTAAGAAATTTCTATAAATTTTAATTTTAATTTCGACATTATATTAACGATAGGCAAATTTTTATAAAAAAAAAAGTATCAGTAATTTTTTATTGATCAAAAGTTATCTTTAAAAAGAAATTGTTTATATTGGCCGGGCATAGAAATATTATTGTAAACAAAATTATTTCAAATAAGTTAGCTTGGATCTAATTTATTTTACCCGTTACTTTTATTAATTTAATGAATACTTTTGAATTATTTTGAATATAAAGTTATAAAACAATTTAATATTCTGACTGTTTTTTTTTAATTTTTTTTTTTAAAAAAAAAAAAAAAAAAAAAATTGTAAATTCGGAGTATCCAAGTATTAGGTTGAAGTGACATGAATAATTGAAATTTGTAGAGACTTTAACTTATTCTTTAACTGTAACTTTTTCATCAACACTCGAAACTTCATTTTGTTTTCGCTTTTGATACCTTTTATAACTAAAGATTCCAACCACTAGAACAATTATAAGGCCGACAATTCCACATATTACGCCAATTATAATTTTCATTTTACTCGATTGACTTCCTGAACTTCCTGAACTTGTAGCAGGAACAAAATCATTAACCCAGGTATAGTTATTTATATCTAACAAATAAATTTTTGAATTATGCTCTGCTGATGGAAAAGCGACCGGTCGCGTAATATTTCCTATAATTTTAATTTGGTTAATGCTAAAATTTAAAGATATAAATTTAATTTTATACGTGAGAATTGACTTACCAAAAGCCACCATCATATAATTATCGATTAAATTTGCCGTATGAGATACAAGTGATGGAACTTCACCAATATTTGATGATACTTGCGGTACAATCCATTCGAATGTTTGAGTATTTAAAACTATCAAGTCTGGATAAACTTTATCGGATCTAGATTCTAATGCATTTCTTGCCCCACCATAAACAATGATTCTACCATCAGAAACTAATAATAATAAATATGATAATTAATATACATTTTTAAGATTAACGAGTAAAAATATATATATACCTAATACAGCTGTATGCGAAGAACGTGAATCGATTTGAATATCACTTTTCGCTTGCTTTATAAAGCAAATAAACATTTCATATGATTAATAAATTTACAAAGGAGATTATAATAATAAGATCTGTCTGTATACTACATACCATTACCGACCAAGACGCTAATTTTGTGTCGTAAAGATTAATTTGATTAATATCTACTTCATGTTGAGTATTATCAGCATATTGCTCTCGACCTCCAATGTATACAATCCTACCATCTGATAATAATGATGCAGTATAAAGATCTCGTTTTAAAGGAACGTTGGCAATAGGACCGTATGACCATGTTAAATCATTAACATTTAATATTAACATATCATTAAAAAATTGAACAATTTTTGATCCCAAGTTCTCATCAGTTTTTCCACCAAACACATAAATATTTCTGGTGTCATCAGCAATGGCTTGAACATTTCTACGTCTTTCCGGTTTATTTCCTTGAATTGCAGGTGTATTCCATTGTCCTGATTTTGGGTTAAATGCATATAACAATGAGACAAATGAATCATCGTTATTTTGATCATCCATAATTCCACCAATAAGATAAATAGTATCATCATTCAATACAGCAGTTGCCCAACAACTTTTAAAATCTAATCCTGAATTTAACGTAAGGTCGGTCCATGACGGAAACTCTGAATTAAATTGTTTAGACCAATCAAGATAGAACACTTCATTTGTACAATTACCATCATCCATTACACCACCAAAAAAATAAATCTTGTTTTCAACAAGAACTGATGAATGAGATTGCCGTCCTGCTGGCGTAAATGACTCAACGCTTAAGAACAAATAACTCAATATAAAAAAGAAAATCATTTTATATTTTTCGTAAGTCATAATTTCAATTGAAGCAAAAGCAAGTTATTAGTTTTTTTTTTACAAAAAAAAAATTTTTTAATTTATAAAGGTTTCAACAATAAGTGATACTACATAACTAGTCCTTTTTCATGCGCATAGCGACATGTCTTACAACATTTTGTTTTTTTACATAACGACGATCGTTTTTTTCCGCAGTAACAAATTGGTTCTTAGCAAATTTAATCAGTCAATTTTCACAAAGCATAACTGATCTGTAATAGACTTATAGATAAATTTTGTGTTTCGCATCAAATATGCATCAAATATGCAATCGCAAAATTGTTCGAATCTCTTTTTTATTGTCTACTTCTTTTATTGCTACATTCTTAACTAAATGTAAATGACTTGACTCTATTTTACATTTATAAATTAATGGAAATATTTTATTAACTAAATTTTTGCTTCTTCATCTTCGCATTGCAAGTTGTGTATTAAAACCTTTGTAGTAGTATTTAGATTAATCATGGAATGGGCGCGTGGGCATTTTGAGCCAATAGAATAGTCCGGAAAACTATCATGTGATAATGTTACGACACATAAATTCACCGAAGGTTTATTTATTTCCTTTTTTTCTATAAAATGACAAACGACGGCTGTCTACCTGATAATTTCTGAAAGTATAATTTCTACTTTTATTTTTAACAAGGTTTTCAATGACCTGCATCGTCTGAAATTTGAGACAGGTTGGTGGCGCATTTATATAATGTCACGCATAGGGGGTACGTTACGAATAGCAGGAAGGGTGTGACATGGGTGACAAATAAATGCTGCACATTGTCAAATGACCTTATACTATGGCGCACAAAAATATTGCATCACCCGAATACAAAATTTTAAAATAGCATAGCATTATCAGAAGGCGCAGCGTTACCATAATTATTTATTAGACTCATACATAACGAGTCTAATCAATGGTATAAAAATCGTTGCTTAGTAATGTGATAAAAAAATTTTAATTACTTGATTTTGATCATTTACGCAATCCTTTAATAAAGTTTAAGGAAGAGATTGACCAGAATTTAGTAGATTAGATCAATAGTGCATTGCATATCACAGAACGACTAATCAAGCTGTCACTAGGGTAAGAGGCCAGGTTTAATTTCTGGATTATTTTTACAAAATGGGTATAATGTTACCTCGCTAGTTCAACATTTGGGCAAATATTGTGATATTATCTCATAACCCTGCAGCACACTGGTCGAAATATTATCTCATAAACCCTACAGCACACTGGTCGAAATGGGTACAAATCGGCTAAAATCAGGCAGACATTTGATGGATGATTGATGGCTGATTTATGGCCGATTTACATTAATT